AGTCCCTACCCCAGCGAATAGGCTTGATGCCTTTGTCAAAGATCAGATGGCAGTAAGTGTGTGAGTTGAGTTCGGGATTCTCTATTCTTTTCCATTGATCAGTGTGTCTGTTTTTATGCCAGTACCATACTGTTTTGGTTATTATGGCTTTGTAGTATAGTTTAAAGTCAATAATTAATTTTTTAAAAATTAAGCCAGTTTCAAAAGGACAAATACTGTATGTTTCCACTGGTGTGAGTAGAGTGCCTAGAGCAGTCAAATTCGTAGAAACAGAAAGTACAATGGTGGTTGCCACAGGAACAGCATAGTGGGGAGTTATTGTTGAACAGGTACAGAGTTTCTGTTTTACAAGACAAAAATAGTTCTGGAGATGGATGGTGGTAATGTTATACAACATTGTGAATGTACTTAATGCCACTGAACTGTATACTGAAAAATGATTAAGATGGTAAATTTTATGTTACATGTATTTTACCACAACATTTTTTTTTAATTAACAAGGCCAGTTTTCTTGAGTGGTTTATAGAATGGCTCTGAAAACAGTTACAAAAGAGGAGTTACCAAAAACGCTTGGAACAAAAGACATGTGGTCAGATAACTGTATAATCTCCCAAGGTGACTGTTTTATGGGAAAAAAAAAAAACCATTAGATGTATAAATTAGAGTACCTTCGTATGTGTGTTTTAGTCTTATTCTTCATAGATGTAGCTTATATCTTAAACACTTTCTAGGGAATCTTGTCATTAAAGCTAAAGTCCTCCTAGTGGTCTTCTGAGAGCAGTACATGGATCCATGTTTGTTTCTTCCAGAAAAGTTAAGGAAATTGCCCAGAATTGCTCAACTGGTTTGTAACAATATAGGATCTTTTGATTCTGTTCATAATCCGTAGAAAATTGCTTTTATCCTCTTGAGTATCACATCTGAGACCTAACAACGCCCCCCTGCCCCCCGAATCCCTCATCTGAACAGGTACCTCGCTGAATGGATGGTATATGGTTATCCCTCAGAAAATGTCTGGGAATTGGACTTGAAACGTTTTGGAGCCCTCCAGAGCAGCCGTACCTTTCTGCGCCACCGGGTCATGGAAGTCATGCGTAAGTGAAACTTTCTCCCAATTGCACCTAGTTGCACATGTCTTTCTGGTGGCCCATTTTGACATTCAGAGGGGCAGATTTTTCATCAGTTTTTTAATAACTGCTTTGAGTTGGGCTTCTGACATTTGACTGTTTCAGGCCTTCATAAGGGACTTTATACCCCTCATGATATTTACGGAACATTTTCTTTAGTGCATAGTACCTTGTTGACTTCTGGGAACAAGAGAATAGACTAGAGTTTTCAGGTGATATGAAGTGGTATGCAGCAGCTTCCTGTATATTCCTATCAATGCTCCCTTTCCAGTTTGCCCTGAAAGACCCTATGTCAAGTGAATACTGTCACTCAGCACTTGATTTTTGAGATCATTGTTTTCTTTCCAAGGCAGAGAATTCACCAAATTATTCGCAAAGCTTCAGGCTTCTCTGAGTGACTTTCGTCATTAATTTGCCATACACTAGCAAGACAGGAAACCACTTCCCATGTAAATACAAAACGTACATTCTTGCTCTCTTTCTCCTTGCTCTCTCCAACTTTGAAGGACTGGCCTCTTCATTTTAATTTAACTTGTTATTCTGCTTTGTCTCTGATTTATTTTTCCAGTAAGCCCATAGAGACAGCTTTTGTATCAGGAACTGTACCAGATCATATGGGTTCTGACATGTAATTTTATTTTCCTATGCTGAGGAACTACTCTCAGACTTTGCCAAATGATATCTAAATATTTGGGGCATATCTGTCCTCAAGACTGTAGCTGTAACCACCATTCTTGGTTACAAATCAAGTGTTTTAGAAGCTGGACGACATTCATGGTGAGGCCTTTGGATGGCCTTTGACACCTGAATACTCACTTTTGGCCTGTGACAGAGAACTTAACTTCCTTGGGGGATGAAGGGACCTAGCAGCAAGCAGTATGTTAAACTGCTAAAGTTCTTTAATTGTAGCAAATATTTTGGTTAAATGTTGAGCTACTGTAAGTCTAGATTTCCCTGCTCACAGTTACTTTAGAACCTGTGCAAATCATAATTGAGCTTGAGCTTCTTCTTGGTGAGATGACACTTTTGGTGGCCTTCTCTGATTCTCATAAAGTGTAAATTACAGACATGATAGAGAACGGGGAAGGAGAAAGTAGAACCTGCAGTACCAGAGGAGGTTGACAAATTGTCACCGTACTTTCTTCTCCTCAGTTTTCTGTCCTCCCCACATCCTGATATACCTTTGGTTTGGAGTGATGTGAGATCAAGTCTTCTCTTTGGAAGGGACTAGAGATCACACACTTTCTGGCTGTTTTTACTTATTGCTGTTGCAGATTGGACATTAAGAGAAATGAATTCTGACCCTAGCTTTGTTATGTGAATAATGTCACTGGGACAATACAGTGCAACCTCTCAGATTTCAGAGCCACCAAATCAAGGTATGCCACATACCCTTTCACTTCCGAAATGGGTTAAATATATTAGAGAGGAGATGTCTGTAACAGGTCTTAGACCATAACAACACAGGCACTGTAAAGAATCAAGCACCATTTTTCATACTTTATCACCCGTGCTCTACTTAGATCTAACCTTCATCTCTGCTGTGGAGCTTAGCAAGGTTTAGGACTATGACATTTCCCCCATTGCTTCTACCTACTGATTTGGAACTTTAATTGTGAACAGAGATCAAAAGTCATGTGACTCACAGCTATGTAGCTTTATGGAAATGTAGTGCTAGTTCTTCCAATATAGCCCTTTCTTCTGGAGCATGCCAGTTATACTGGGTAATATTTGACAAATTAGGCTACATTCACCTGGAAATTACCCTCTTTTGAATAGGAATGATTCCAGATTCTATTGGATATTGGATACTCAGTTCTAGAATATGTGGCTTTGATAGACTGTTCCTGTCTGTTCTAGCTCTGATGTATGATCTGAAGGTTCCCCGTTGGGACTTCCAGACTGGTAGGCAGCTACGCACATCTCCACTCTATGACCGGTTGGATGCACAAGGAGCCAGATGGATGGAGAAACATGGATTTGAGAGGCCAAAGTACTTTGTTCCTCCGGACAAGGGTAAGAAGTCACATTCTTGTTTTTGTTCTTTTTTTTCTGACCTGGGAATTAATAAAACTTATTTGTAAATTCATATAGCTAGAATGTGTTCCTGGAAGAATAAATAATAAAACCTGTTGGGCAACACTAAACAATACAGGGAGACTCCCCAGTATAAGTCCTCTTCTTTTCTCTCCACCACTTTTTTTCCCATGCCGTTAGACCTACTTGCATTAGAACAGAGCAAGACTTTCTACAAGCCAGATTGGTTTGAAATTGTGGAGTCTGAAGTCAAGTGCTGTAAAGAAGCTGTGTGTGTCATCGACATGTCCTCTTTCACGAAGTTTGAGATAACGGTAAATATTTCGGAACCAAAATAACAGATTAGGGAACTTTGTGTATTTATTGTCTTTTTTTTGGTTGGTGGTGGTGGCTGGCTGGTGCTGGGGATTGTATATTTATTGAGGAGCTTGACAGATGGTCAAAGTACAAGGAACCCAGTGGGATTTTCATCTCAATCTTCCATCCTTCCCACATCCTGATGTACTTTTGGTTTGCAATGATGTGTGGTCATTTCTTCTTTTTGCAAGGGACTAGAGGTCCCCCTTTCTGGCTGTTTTTTCTTATTGCTGTTGAAGATAACTGTTTTGTTTTTTTTTTTTTTGTCTTTTTGTCTTTTTCCGTGTCCGGCAACGGATCGCAACCCTCAGTGTTGCCCCCGTACCGGGGACCGGCAACGGGACCGCAATCCTCGGTGTTGCTCCCGCACCTCGCTCAGCCAGTGAGCGGGAACCGGTCTGTATGTGGGATCCGAACCCTCGGGCGGGAGCGCCGCCGCGCTTCCCAAGCGGCGCACTTATCCATTGCGCCACCGGGCCGGCCCAGAAGATAACTGTTTTTTATTTGTCACTTCAAAACTGATTCTGTAAGAACTCTGGTATATTTTAGTGTTTCATCTGTATTGTAACATTTCTCTGAATTTTTAGCTCCTTGTTTCTGGCTTTTAATTTGTTTAGAGAGGCCGATTTATCATGAGAACCAATAGCTAGCTTTCCCTGGAGCTTCTTGCGATAGAATAAATCTGCAAATATTTTCATGGCGGTACTGGCTAATTGAATTTTCTCAGCAGTACTCATTGCTGGTCAGGCCGTGTTAACCAGCCAGTGCTCTTATGCTCTCTCTCTCTCTGCTTCATTCCCTAACCCTGCAGTCCACTGGGGATCAAGCATTAGAAATGCTCCAGTACCTCTTCTCCAATGACCTGGATGTGCCTGTGGGCCACATCGTGCATACTGGCATGCTCAACGAGGGTGGAGGGTATGAAAATGACTGCAGCATAGCACGACTGAGCAAGCGCAGGTGAGATAGTTGCCATCCGCCCTGCCTCCTCCCAACGTGCTGACTCCTTGAGGACACTGTAGCAGGAACTAACACACTTCTCCAGGAAAGCATAATTAGCCCAGGGACTAAAAAGTCATTTCTTGAACTCATGGCCGGTTCATTGGCAGCCCTGAACAGGAAGAAATCACCAGGGGGAAAAAAAAAGAAAAACACCGGGTTATTACAATTCAGTGTAGAAGAGTTAGTTACCCTCCTGGGATAAGATGCCTTCTCTTACGTTAGTAATTCTGTGTAATTTCTTGGCACCAGAGTTTTGCTTTGTCATTACGTGGTATATCCTGGAAATGGTACAACTGGTCCTCCCTGAAAGCTAAGAAATCATTCTCCAGTATTCTCATTGCTTTGAAACTAGATGAGAACTTGATTGCTTCCTGATCCTTGTTCTGCTGCCTGGTTTTGATTATTGTGGGGTCTCACTTTCAGTTTCTTCATGATCTCTCCAACCGACCAACAGGTCCACTGTTGGGCCTGGCTTAAGAAACACATGCCAGAAGACAGTAACCTACTTCTGGAGGATGTCAGCTGGAAATACACTGGTAAGGGGGCCTTCTGGGGCCAGCTGAGCAAGAAAAAGCCAGCAGATCCTGATGTGTCTTCTCTATTTGCCTGCTTTATATTTGACTTTCAAAAATGAATGTCGGAATTAGTATAGAGGAAGCTCTCTGATCAAAGAAAATTGATCTCTAATACTTCCCCACCTTTTTTGTTGTTGGTTTTGTTGTTGTTTTTTGGTGGCTGGCTGGAATGGGGATCCAAACCCTTCACCTTGGTGTTATAACACCATGCTCTAACCAACTGAGCCAACCAGCTGTCCCCTTTCCCCACTTTTTATAAGTGAAGTGTGAAATAAGTGAGATAGTGCTTCACTTTCTTTTTTTTTTTTTCCTTTTTGTCTTTTTTCGTGTCCGGCAACGGATCGCAACCCTCAGTGTCACACCCGTACCGGACCGGGACCGGCAACGGGATCGCAAACCTCGGTGCTGCGCCCGCACCTCGCTCAGCCAGTGAGCGGGAACCGGTCTGTATGTGGGATCCGAACCCTCGGCGAGAGCGCCACCACACCCCCAAGCGGCGCACTGTAGCAGTGCGCCACCGGGCCGGCCCCGATAGTGCTTCACTTTCTATTTATTTTGTTCACTACTGTATCCTCTACAGTTAGCATGTAGGAGCACAAATATTTGCTGAACGAATGAGTAAATCACTTTTTACATTTATTACCTAAGTAAAATTTTCTTCAAAATTTCCTTCTACCTATTTTTTTTAATGAGTATGTAAGTTTTAAGGGTGACTTAATTTCCTGATTCTGTCTTCCTCATCAGTCCTGTTCACCACCCCATTCCGGGTTCAACTTCTCCCTCCCTCCCACTTAACTGACTCCTGCCCCTTCCCCCCACCTGTGTTTACCCTCCCAAGCCATCATTCTCAATGTGTTGTAGTAGCAAATGTGATTAACTTCTTGCTACCAGCTTGGCAAACTACAGAATCTTATTAAGCAAAAGTTGTATTCTAGCCTGTATATAGGGTAGCTGACGTGTAATCAGCACAAGCTGCTGTCCAGGGTAGTTGGGCAGCTCTCCTCCTGGTACTCATTTGGGATTGGGGCTTTGTCCATCATGTAGCCACACTGGGAAGAGGAAGAGAACGGGAATTATGCAAGGGGGGTAGGGCAGCCCTGGAAGTGGGCTCATGCCTATTGGCCAGAACTTGGTCTCATGATCCTAATCTAATGCAGGAGGCTGTGGAATGTTGTCTTGCTGTGTACCAGGGAAAGGAAACATACAAGCCAGGCACTCTCATGCCAGCACAGTCAGTAGCTGCATTCTGTAGGCCTGTCTGCACAGGTGTATTTGCAAGAATAGGGATGCTTGGCATCCATCCTTGGATTGCCTAAGCAAAGGGATATTTTTCTGGTTTTACCACCTGGGCCTGGCCATAGGTGAGCAAGTCCAGAACAGACCTTTCCCTCTGGTTCAGCTGTTCCCCTGGAGAGGCTGGACATCTCTCATTCTTTTCTGTTTAGCTCTCAATCTGATTGGTCCCCGAGCTGTGGATGTGCTGTCTGAGTTGTCCTATGCCCCAATGACTCCAGACCACTTTCCAAGTCTCTTTTGCAAGGTGAGTGCTAGTAAAATTCTGTTTTTTAAATGGGCAGAGAATATTTCTTTTATAGAGGTTACAGTTACATATTCTTTCTGTGACATTAACACCTAGGAAGAGTGTTCTGACTTCTGTTAAGCAAACAAAATGAACGAGTAAATTTGTTTCTTTATTTTTCACCCTTTAAGCTCTCCTTATTTAATAAGCATTAGGATACTTTTGAAGTGGATTTGGCTTCTCTGAAGGTCAGGTCTGTATATTTATTGGTTTCTGTGGCAGTGGATTAAAATTATAAATTACGGGGTTATGACAGTGACACCAAAAAGTGCTGGTCAAGGTTAGGTCACTTCTCTCAATGCAGTGCTTCCTCTTTTTCATACACAGAGGAACTTTTGTGGGTGGATATTGCATCTTCAGGAGGGAAGAAATGGTGTAGGTGAATCCCTAACTGTTTACCTAATTGTCTTTCCTATAAGTGGCCACTGTAGCTGAACAAACTGAATAAAAAACAATGATATGCAGCAATCGGATACAGCACCAAAAGCATGTTCTATAAAAGAAAAAAATGATAAATTTGGCTTTATCAAACCTAAGAATGCAATACTCTTTAAAACTCTAAAATATACTAAAATCTCCTCTAAAAAAAAAAAAGCAATGATAACTGAATAATCTCTGGGAAGCAGGTGATTAGAGAGGTCCAGACAGACAGACATTTTGGCAGCTTGTAACAAGCAGCTTCCAGACAATTACAGGTAGAGGGTCTTTGAAGTTCAAACTAAAGTTTAGATCCACCTACAAATTGTCTTATGTTTTTCCTTCTTCCCCAAGGCAGAGTGAATGCAATAGAAAACTCTCCACTGCCAGCAGACCCTTCCCAGGGTTCTCTCTGCTGCTTGTCTCTGCATCATGTTGGCTTCCTATGGAAGCGGTTTGCTTCAGTGCTGTCTGGGACCTTCCTCTTTCCTTTATAGGAATAAAGATTGTATCAGTGGCTGCTGTTAGGTAACTGAGCTGCTGTCAGCAGTTAGAAGCTGGGTCTGTGACCCCATGGCAACAGATGAATCGTGTTCTGTGGGCATCAGGCATCATCTCTGTATGGCAAGTGCCTGGGATTTGTCTGCAGATTCCCCCAGAGAAGACATTTGCCTAGTCTTCATTGCTCCTGATACCCTGACTAACACAAGTCTTTAGCAGGACTTTGCAAAGAGCAGTATTTCGTGCTTGTCAAAGACTTTGCCTCCACTTCCCACCATTAGCTTGGCTAAAACTCCTGAAATGGTGATATTCCTGAGAAGAGATGTTCTAAAGGTCATGCTCCATTCTCAGTGCCCTCAGTACTTGGAAACAGACTATTTTCAGGATGAAATTCTTTTGTCAGCGTGTTTCTCTATTAGGGTTAAACAAAGAGGCATTCCTTCCCCTGTCGAGCATGCGTGAGCACCCACCACCCCTGGAGAGTCCCCAGGCTGACTTGCACTTTGTTCTGCAGGAGATGAGCGTGGGCTATGCAAATGGGATCCGGGTGATGAGCATGACTCACACAGGAGAGCCGGGATTCATGCTGTACATCCCCATAGAGGTGAGAGGCCGTCTTCTTTTCCCAGAACCACTGGCAGCTAAACACATGAGTACTTGTGGGTGTGGAGAGCTATAGCTGAGTGGACCTTGAGAATTGTGGTGGGCAGCGTTGAAGAGATTTGACAATTTTTAACAAAATTATTTAATTATTTTGAATAAGTAACACATTTAAAAAGTATTCAGAGCCATCTGACCCGTTCTCACTATCACCAGTGATAGTAGTGGTAGTATTTTTTATAGGTCATATCAGAGATTTTTTTTTTTTTTTTTTTTTAAGATGACCAGTAAGAGGATCTTAACCCTTAGCTAGGTGTTGTCAGCACCACGCTCTCCCAAGTGAACCACGGGCTGGCCCTATATCAGAGATTTTTATACATATGCAAATAAGTTCAAATACATATTCTTAGCCCTCTTTTTAAAAACAAATTCTGCTGTTCTTCATCTTTTTTTTTTAACTTAAAAATTTATCTTAGAGCTGGCCAGTTGCTCAGTTGATTAGAGCGTGGTGTTATAACACCAAGATCAAGGGTTTGGGTCCCTGTGCCAGCCAGCTGCCAAAAAAAACATTTCCTTAGAGTTCTTTCTGTGTTGGTATCTAAAAAGAAAGAGCTTTCTTTCTTTTTTTATTTATAGTGTCATAGTATTCCATCATATTGTTGAATTGTGATTTATTTAACCAGTCTGGTACTAACAGACATTTATGATATTTCCAGTCCTTTGCTATTACAGAAAATTCTGCAGTGTACAAGAGTGTCTTTTTTCTTATTGCATCTGCCAACACAGTTATCAAACTTTAGGCTTTTGCTAGTCTGATAGGAACAAAATAGTTTGTTAGTGCAGTTTTAATTTCCTTTATGAGTGAGGTCGAGTGACTTGTGAAAACCCATCTCACTCCAAGTAAAAGCCAATCTACAGGGCCCAACACAGTCTACCTACCCATTCTCCACCTTGTTGCTTCTGATCTTACCCTGTCTTCTCTGCCTCTCCCACTCTTTCTCGTCTTGGAATATGCTGGGTGTGCTTCTCCTCAGGGCCTTTACACTTACTGCTCTCCCTCCCTTGGCATGTCCTTCCCCAGACAGATACTCTCAAACTCACAACTTCACTTCTTTCAGGTCTTATTCACATGGCACCTTCTCAGTGAGACCTCATTCCAAGTGGCAGTGCCCCACCAGTTCTTCCTCTCCCCCTTCCCTTTTATTTTTCCCCATGGCACTTACTGCTGTGTAATAAAATCTATTTTATTCATCAAATTACCCTGTTAACTTTTATATCCCCATCACCTAGAGTAGGTGCTCAATAAATAGTGCACCAGTACGTTTTCTGGTCATATCCTTTGTCCATTTTTCTATTAGATTTCTGATCTTCTTATCTGTTTCTAGGCACTCTTTTTTTTCCTTTTTGTCTTTTTTCGTGTCCGGCAACGGACCGCAACCCTCAGTGTCACACCCGTACCGGACCGGGACCGGCAACGGGATCGCAACCCTCGGTGCTGCGCCCGCCCCTCGCTCAGCCAGTGAGTGGGAACCGGTCTGTATGTGGGATCCGAACCCACGGTGGGAGCGCCACCGCGCTCCCAAGCGGCGCACTGTAGCAGTGCGCCACCAGGCCGGCCCTCTAGGCACTCTTTTTAAAATTAATTAATTTATTTTAATTGACACATTGTAGTTGTACATACTTATGGAGTACAATCTGATGTTTTGATGCATATGTATGTTGTATAATGATGGGGTCAGGATAGTTACAGTCTTCATCACCTCATGCACTTATCATTTCTTTGTGGCAAAAATATTCAAAAGCCTTTCCTCTAGCTGTTATGTAATATACACAGCTGTTAGCTATAGCCACCCTACTGTGCAGTAGAACATCAGAACTTAACTGGGCACTCTTTGAATCACACAGCCCTTGGTGTTTAGTTGCAAATATATTTTTTTCTGGTTTGTCATTTGTCTTTTGATTTATGGTGGGGTTTTTTTGGCCATGTAAAAGGGTTTTTTTAATTTACTTTTTATTATGGAAAATGTTTCATAAATTTCAGAAATATTTTCAAAATTTTTATGTACTTGAATTGATCAGTCTTTTCTTTTGTTTTTTATTCACTAGAAGGGACTTCTCTACTCCAAGGTTATAAAAATTTTTCTTCCATCTCCACAATTTTCTGGTGCTTTCATAGTGTTGTTGTTGTTTATGGCTTTGGCTTTGTAAAAAAAAAAAAAAAAAAAAAAATCAAGCACACTGTTGATATTTTTCAGATTATGTTACATTTATAAATTAGGGAGAATTGACGTTTTTGTAATATGTTGGATCTTACAATCAAAGAACATGGTATGCCTTTTTAAAAATCTTTTATGAAAGTTCTTTGGTGACCTTCAAATGTATTTTGAAGTTTCCTTTATACAGATCTTAATACATTTCTTAAGTTTATTTGATTAATATTTTGTTGCTGCTATTTGAGTGGGGGAGGGTGTCTTTATTTCATGATCTTCTAAATGATTATAATTTATGAAAGCTATTTTTCTCTGTATTAATTTTCTATCCTGTTTTCTTGTGAAATTATCTTATTTTTTCTAATTAAATTGGGTTGATTCTCCAGGGCTTGCATGGTTTAGTCTAATCATATACACATCAGTAAGTTTTTCTTCCTTCTCCACCATTTTTATTCTTACAGTTACTTTTTTATTCTTACCTTGTATAATTGTGACAAGTAGCAGTGATCGTAGGCATCCTTGTCCTGTTCTTGACTGTAGTCATATACCTGTAGTGTTAGGTTTTCTTTTAATTATTAAATGAAGCATAAATTTATCACCCCATGAAGTTTTATCTGCTTTTCCAGATTCAGAGATATTATAACCATAGTAAGATGAAAGGATTATTCAAGACTTGAGAATAGTTCAAACAAGCAGATCTGCTATGGTTTGTGCAGAGAGGTGTTGATTCTGAAGTGCCATGCAGTTGTTGAGGTGTTATTACCTGGGTGCCTGCCACCAAATCCCATCAGGAGGGTGATGCTGTGTGACTACAGCAGCTTCATCCTTGCTGGGAGGCCCTGGTTTCAGCCTTCTGATTTCCCTGTACCACTCCTCTGATTTTTCCATGAGTCCAAGAAGAGATCATTAGTGCCATGCCTGGATGATTTTCAGGCTGGCTTTTGTCCTTAAGAAGCTTATGTTTGTCTGGAAAGGTCTTCTGAAACCTGGGGGCGGATGACAGGTTCTAGTGAGAAAAATGAGTCGATGGTAGGGACCCAGTCTTCCCTTTGGTCTTCTCATGTAGCTCAACAGTAGTCACCTGGTTAAAATCTTTCCTCCCTAGTCTTATCTTAGCTAAAGGACATAAGAATTCAGCTTATGACGGAAGGCAACAAACCCACCAGACATGCTGGCTCATTAGTCCCAGATCACTCTCTGCCAGTCTCCTGCACCCATCTTTGCTAGTTCATATGTGACAATATACACATACCACAGGCTAAGTGTTGCATTCAGTAGCTTAGATTCCTTTTTTCCTCATTTAAAGTTGTCTTGATCGTAGATGCCTATCCAATAGATGCCTAGTCAGCTGCAGTATTGCAATTTCTAGTAACACACAGTGCCAGGGTTAAAGAATTGCAGTACCGAGAAAGCTGGTTCTTTTCTGTGTCTTGTTTTGTGTTTTGTTTTACTTTTACAGTTTTTAAAGCAATGTAGTCTCATTTTTGTTGGACTTCAAATGTAACAGAGTATGTTCAGACAGGGATTGAGTATTTGCTTTCAGTTTGGAAAACCTTCTGTTCGCTTAAATTATCTGATAACTTAATTGTTTCTGGAACCAAGAAAAGAACAGCTTGAGAGGTGGATGTCATGGGAGATAGACAAGCAAACTGTGCTTTTCCTGGCTCTTCTGTGCCTTGTTGTGAGTCTCTAAGACATACCACCATCTGTGTGAAAGATTAGATGTGTGCACACACATCAAGAGCTCTCTGAAAGAACTTGGGTTCCAGAGTTTGGGCCAGTGCATTTGGGTGTGACAGAGGCTGGGGACTTGAGGAACAAAGGCAGAGCTGGATGAAGATTGTGGAGGGTGAGTGGGCTGTTTTAGAAACAACTATGGTGTTTGTCATTTACCACATGGTGAGAGTGCTTCTGTGAGTTATTATTTAATAATTGCTGTATACTACAATCAGTATAGTAGACATTTTAGGGAAGAGTAAAGATGTATCCTGCTTTCATGGAGCTTACAGTCTGGGTTGGGGTGACCCCAGCTCTTCACTTAAGGGCTGTAGGGTGAGACATCCTGGCGGTTTTGTACAGTCTTCTCCCTTGTCCACGTTAGTAGCATCAGCACTCCCAGACATATTCCATATTTGACCTGAAGATCTGATGATTACTAACCTTTCATCTCTCCCTATAGTATGCCCTGCATGTGTACAATGAAGTGATGAGTGTTGGGCAGAAATATGGAATCCGGAATGCTGGTTATTATGCTCTTCGCAGTCTCCGAATTGAGAAGTTTTTTGCCTTCTGGGGTCAGGATTTAAATACCCTCACCACGCCCCTGGAATGTGGACGAGAGTCTCGGGTGAAATTAGAGAAGGTACCATGTTTTTCCAGACCCTTTTCTGTCACTCAGCTTCCTGGGTAGTGAAATCTGCACTAGAATAGGAAGAAAAACTGATTGGGAAGGGAAAGTGTAAAAATATTAAGACCTCAGTGATAGCATCAGGCAAATAATGATGATCATGGCATCCTTAGAATGAAAAACTTATCTACGAGATAAAACATCTTCACATGAAAACATAATAAATAGACAACACTTGTTTGTAGCACTTTGCTCTCTAAAGACAGTGTCTTCTGGGAAGTTTTTCTGAGTTGGTTATGGTGATTCATTAACATGACACAACTATTTGTATAAATTGGCCATCTTATAGTCTGCTGCCAAATTTTTTTTTTTAAGTATAGTGGGGTTTTTTTTTTTTCCTTTTTGTCTTTTTTCATGTCCGGCAACGGATCGCAACCCTCAGTGTCGCGCCTGTACCGGACCGGGACCGGCATCGGGATCGCAACCCACGGTGTTGCTCCCACACCTCGCTCAGCCAGTGAGCGGGAACCGGTCTGTACGTGGGATCCGAACCCTCAGCGGGAGCGCCACCGCGCTTCCCAAGCGGCGCATTGTAGCAGTGCACCACCGGGCCGGCCCAAGTATAGTGGTTTTTTACAGTATCATAGTTCAAGAGAATGTTCTGTGAATAGTGTGAGTCTCTTTCCCCACCTCTGAACCCCACCTAATCTGTCCCCTTTGCCAGAAGAACCAGTTTCTCATCTCTGCTTTTAGAGGGCATCAGTTCAGTGCAGACATGCTAGTGTATAATTTCCCCTCCCTACTTTTTTTAACCTAGATGATTGGATACCACATGCTTGCTATATTGCACCTTGCTTATTTTACATAGGAAAATATCTTGGCAATCGTTTCCTATCAGTACATTAATTCTGTAGTATTCTTTTAGAGCAATATGTGTAATGATTTTTCTCTGACATAAAAGTAATAAATAACTCATTTTGGAAAACAGGGAACATTTTCTTTCTTTAGGTATTTATTTTGGTGACTGGCAGGTATGGGGATCCCAACCCTTGACCTTGGTGTTCTAACACTGTGCTGTAACCAACTGAGCTAACTGGCCAGACCTGAAAATAGGAAAAAAATTAAAGAAGAAAATTAAAATCACCTATATTTTATCTATTCGGAGATAATGACTGTTACTGGCCAGTTAGCTAAGTTGGTTAAAGCACAGTGTTATAACACCAAGGTCAAGGGTTTGGATCCCTGTATCTGCCAGTCACTGAAAAAAAAAAGAAAGAAATTTTTAAAAAAGAGATAATCACTGTTAATAGTTTGTTTTATTCTGGTCTTGTTTTTTGTACATATGCATATGTAGATATATATGCATGGACCTTTTTTGGGATTATATAAAAACATAGTTTTTCTAAAACAGTTCTCGCAAGTTTTTTTTTTTGTTTGTTTTGTTTTTAAAGATGACCAGTAAGGGGATCTTAACCCTTGACTTGGTGTTGTCAGCACCACACTGTCCCAAGTGAGCCACGGGCTGGCCCTCTAGCAAGTATTGTTGAGTTTTCTTTCTAAGTGTTTCTGTTCTGTGTGGTCTTGTGATTGAAATCTGTGTTTATAAAACAGAAAAAAGAAAAACGTGTACTTCTGTTTTTACAGAAATTCTTTTTTTTTTTTTTCCGATTTATAAGAAAATGAAATTTACTGCTTGCAGTTTCAGAGGCCAGGAAGTCCAAAGTCCAGGGAACACTTCTGGTGAAGGTTTTCTTTGGTGGTGACTTCAGTGACAGCAGAGTATCACATTGTGAAAATGGTGGAGCAGAGAGAGCAGAGAGCTGTTACAGAAATTCTTGAGGGTGTCTTTTATATTATGAATGCAGTTTTCCTCGTGGTGGATAGCACACACTATTTTACAGAAGCTGGGGTGTGGGGGAAGGGTGCTGCACTCCACTGCAGTGACACCAGGGGACCCTTCCCTCTGTGCTGCTTCATGTGTCAGTGGACATCTCAGTGTTTCCTTTCTTTCTCAGGGCATGGATTTCATTGGCCGGGATGCCCTGCTGCAGCAGAAGCAGAACGGGGTGTATAAACGCCTCACTATGTTCATCCTGGATGACCACGACACAGACCTGGACCTCTGGCCTTGGTGGGGAGAGCCTATCTACCGGAACGGGCAGTATGTTGGCAAGACCACCAGCAGTGCCTATAGCTACACCCTGGAGCGCCATGTTTGTCTGGGCTTCGTGCACAATTTTTCTGAAGACACTGGGGAAGAGCAGGTGGTGACAGCAGATTTTATCAACCGGGGAGAGTATGAGATCGACATCGCAGGACACCGGTTCCAGGCGAAGGCCAAGCTCTACCCTGTCACCTCCCTGTTCACCCACAAGCGCCGAAAGGATGATGTGGAGCTGAGTGACTTGCACGGGAAGTGATGCCAGGGAGTCTCCTCCTCCCATCCCTCGTCCCGGAGGAGCATCACCTGAGAGCTTCTCGTTCTTCCTCCTGCCTCTGTCCCTCTTTATTGAACCTCTGCCTCTTGCCTCTTATCTCCTTGATACAATTTTGAACCTGACCCACTTTTAAACTTTATGCTTTGCAGCCTCTCTTGTCCTTCCATCTTCTCCTCCCCACTTCTGTAGTCTTCCCTCCTAACACTGACTGTGGGCTCTCCTTCCTGTCTGTCTGCCCTGCTCAGTTTCCCGTGGTGGCAGAAAGTATGTCTGACAGGCAGGACAGAAGCAAGTTCCACTATGGAAGTAGGTTAAGGTGACAGTCTGACATCAAATTCTGCATCTCAAAACACAGCAAGCTGGTGTTGTGCAGGCCTCAGGGCAAGAATCCATCTCCTCCAGCTAAGTTTTCTTGAGTAACCTGTTAACTTTGGTAGGGTTGCCTGTGTCTGATGCAGCCCTGTGGACTAGCTTGTGCCTTTTAGCCAGGCAGATCATTCTCCTGTTCCATTGCGCTGTGGGTTGACACCTGATATCTCTAGCAAGCGGGTGATCATCTACCTCACTGAGGAGAGGCTTCGCATGGACCTCTGGTCTGTAGCAGAGACAAGCAGTTAACCTGGCACCGTCCTCTCCCTCCCTGTGGAAACAGTTATCCAGGCCTTTGGGCCAGGGCAGCCTGTGTGTAATTTTCTTCATCCCTTGGTAATCCCTGTAATGAGGTTGCTGTTTCTTTCTCAGCTGAGTGAGCACGTGAGCCACAGTGTTCAAAAGGGAAAAACCATGTTGCCTTTTGTGTTGCTTTTCCCAGTGGAAAGGGTCTGACCTCAGAAAGTATGGCACCAATGACACTGAGTTTTTACCATTAGAACAGTGCTGCTTTTCTTTCAGTTGGTCAGAGTTCAGCTATCCTATCTGGATTTTCCTTTTCTCCCGGTATGTTTGACTTTATTGGTTCAGCCTTACCTGTCCCCTCTGTGATTGGCCCACGAGCTCATACTATTTCTGTCACTTTAGAACAGGGAGGGGAAGGTAGGACGTGTTGTTCCGGCTGAGTGACCAAACCTTGCTGTCTATAGTTCCTTGCTGTCCTTGCTGTTCCAGAGAGCTACCTGATTGCCAAGCTTTACTTCCTCCAGCACAGAACAAACAAAGCCATGCAGAGACGGCCCTTGTAGGCCCATTAAGAGTTTTGAGTACAGAGGGTGTAAGTTACATAAGGCTGGAGGACAGCAGCTTTCTGACTTTTCCTCTCCAGCCTTTTCTTTCCCTTCCAGACACCGCTCCATTAGACTCTGGAATAGAAAATGACTTGGGATGCCCCAAGAGCACCCTGTGTACTTTTAAGCTGTCTTTCTGTTTTCTTTTTTTTTTTTAAAGATGACCGGTAAGGGGATCTTAACCCTTGACTTGGTGTTGTCAGCACCACGCTCACCCAATGAGCTAACTGGCCATCCCTATATGGGATCCGAACCCGGGGCCTTGGTGTTATCAGCACCGCACTCTCCCGAGTGAGCCACGGGTCGGCCCATGTCTTTCTGTTTTCTGAAGGCGAGACTTGAATATTGTAGACTGTTCTATGCAGTCCCAAAACTTAATTGTCCCTTGCATGTAAACTGCCCTAAAAAATTTTTTTAAGTGCAAACAAACTGCTATTAGGGATTTTAATTAATTAAACTGTAGCCTTTGTTGTCATGGTATCTTGGAAGCATTAGCTCTGATAAGTCTAAGTATGTTAAAGGAGATTCTTTCATTTTATTAGAGCAGCTTAAAAGCATCAGGTGTCTGCCTTCTCTAGCATTTTTTGGGAGTCTCTGTTTACCCACTTAATCAGATGGCTCCTTCTAGGTATTTCTTGCCATTTCCCCAGCTAGACCACTCCTACTTGGTTACTGACTTTAGTGTTCACTTTTGAGGGATCTTAGTTGATTTATTGAGGGAGCATGTGATTAGAATTCTGTTTGGGAGCCTAGCTATTTTGGAGCAAAGGTGTATTTGATCAGCTGAGAGATGCTGTTTCTAGGCAAAAAGGAGGAGAAGACACGTTGCCCCTCGAGAGCTGAGCAGCAAACCAGCAGCTGTGAAGGACTTGGCAGAGAGGAACAGGCCCTTGGCCACAGGCAGGTGCTACCAGCAGGGAGGTGACTGGCCTGAGAAAGTGGGAACAGGATGGAGAGCTACAGGTACCCCCTGCTCTTCCAAACACACAGCGTTTGCCTCACTCCGAAGTCATCTTTGAAAATGAAAATTTATTTAGAATTGAATCCAAAAGAAATCTTTGACTTATGCATAAATATTACTCTTCCAACCTTAGATGGGGCAATAAAGTTGCTCTTTCTGTTACATAGAAGTCTCACCACTTAAGAAGAGCCAGACAAAAAATAAAAGCCATCTCTATAGTTTAAAATTGGGAAATGCCATCCTCACAGTATATTCCTCAGATAGAAATTTCATCAGCAGTATATTCAACATGGAGTTTTAAGACTTGGATTTTCTTTTCTGCACTTGTTTATCTCTAGCTAGTTACTGTTTTGTTAATTAGCTGACCTTCCTAAGAAGCAGGAGAAAAGTCAAAATCACGCAGTGAATTTCCACTGAGCTGAAAGTTCTGGCCTCCTGTTTGCTGGTGTCACATTCTGCTCCTTTGAGCCAGCAGACAGCACTTCTCTTGCTGTAGGGGGAGAGGGGGGAACGAGCACTCAGGACCGTTCTTTGAAACACCTAGTCTGTAAATAGGGGTCATACACCTAAGGTTCTGGCGAGGTGTTGATCTTCTGGGTTATCCCTTGTTTATTGAATGCCCTGAAACCTACAGATTTATCTCTTAGCACTTTAAAATCCATCCTTGAAATCTCTCTTGGTTCATTCAATCAAAGGCAGTGTGAATCTGGACATGTGTGTGAGCTCTGAACAAACATCTGACAGTGAGTGACTCTTTCCTGCCTCTAGCGTAATTGATTTGCCTCTGTCTGGTGTCGCACGTATCTTAGATGGTCAAGAAGAGAGAGCAGTGTAATCTCCTGGCCCGTTAACATCAGATGCTAGAGCATTCTGGGCTCCTCTTGGATAAGGAGAGGTTGCTGATAGATGCACTAGATCCTAGATGAGGTAGATCTGGAGGCATAGTTGCAAATCTGGCAAGAATAAGGAAGGACAATCAAAGCAGCCTTATTTGTGTGTCGTGTTCCATCTTGGGCAGTGGGGCCACATGGGTTCGTTTGCCTTGTGTGATAGCTCACCCTGGAGGGCTGGTTAGTTTGTCATCTGTCCCTAGAGATTTGAGGGATTCTGGACTCTTGTGAGTTGGTGGCTGGACTCTAGCTTTAGGGAATTTGGGGTACTTTTTTCTCTCTGAAATAATCTGTGATCACATTTTGTGCTCTCCATGGGGAAGGGCTCTGCGTTCTCTTCTGTCTTGTCAGCATATTCAATTAAAAGAATCTTTTTGAGGGCCGGCCTGTGGCTCACTCGGGAGAGTGTGGTGCTGACAACACCAAGTCAAGGGTGAAGATCCCCTCACCGGTCATCTTTTTTTTTTTTTTTTTTTTCTTTTTTTAAAGATGACCGGTAAGGGGATCCTCACCCTTGACTTGATGTTGTCAGCACAACGCCCACCCAGTGAGCAAACCGGCCATCCCTATATGGGATCCGAACCCGTGGCCTTGTTATCAGCACCGCACTCTCCCGAGTGAGCCATGGGCCGGCCCCAAAAATAATCTTTTTGAACATAGGAGCAGAAAGTGTTTGCTTCAAACAGATGAAGACCCAAGGTTGCAGGTTGTCTGTGGGCCTTCTCCCTGAAATACCTTTAAGTGCTTCCCCCTAGTTGCTCAGGACACATGCAAATCCTGTTTCTTAGCAATGCCATGGTCTTTTGACTCCTATTTAAGCTTGCATCAGAAAGTTTTCCTTTCTGTGATATTGGCACTAAAGTCAGGAGAGCCCTAATTCAGAAAGTTTAAGAGCAAAAAGGGACACAAACTAACTGCTTGGACAGCCTATTCGATGGCTTCCACCCTTGTGTTGCAGTCACATAGCACCTCCTGGGCAGGACAGGCTCCAGCAGAGAGAATGGCACAATTACCACACTATTTCCAGTGCTCTTCTGAGGGTCCCTGCACCCCCAAATATGGGAGATCCCATTCAGGCCAAGGACACAGAGACCATTTTAGCCCAATGATTAAACTCCAGTTTCATTTTGGCCCCAAATGTCCCCTTTCTGCAGGAGCAGAGCCCAGTCACTTCAGTTCACTTCTCATGAGGAGGTGTGCTGTCCCTGAATCGTCTCTCCTTTGCACACTGAGATTTTTACCTGATGGCTTGCTTTCCTGGGTGGCTGTTTCCAAGAGTCTTTACCATCCTTTGAGAACCTGAGATAGATAGAAGGGACTCTTCCATGACCTACAGTCTTAGTACTGGCCCTAGAAGATGTGTGCTGGTAGAGCATTGGCTGGCTTGCAGCAGTTAGCTACAAGCTTCATTTTCATACCTCTCTGTTGCTCTTGGCCACTGTACTCAACAGGGTCCTCTTTAAAATCTAACACAGAGGTTTGGTCAGTAGAGGTTAATACTGGAGAAGAACCTTCCACCATTTTACTTTCTTTCTGCACCCCACCCCCCACACACCCCTCACAAACGTGGATGTAAGCAGCACTTAACACAATATAGGGAAATTTTTCTTAGGGTAAAGGATGTTCATCTCACACATGTCATTTGCAAGCACCATGGATTCAGGAGAAGCAAATACGGTAGGTGAGGTAGTAAGTTTGAGGCTTCAGCCATGCCCTGTGTACATGCAGTGAGTGGTGAGTGACCTGTGTGTCTGTCTGTCAGCACCTCCCTCCCCATCACCACTTTTGGCCTCCACTTTAAGGTGCTGAGTTGTAAGCCTCCATCATTGTCAGTATGGGGCTTGCCTGTGTGGTCCCTCATCACTACCAGTGCACTATTTTTCAAGAGGACTGAGTATTTTTGTATGTCTTTACCTTCTCCTTGTTCATTAAACACCAGAGTTGTTCCTTGTATAATATGATTCTTGACCTCTCTGAGCAGAGTGTCTGCATCTCTTGGAGAATTTCACATTTCTTCGTCGCCATTTTTCTCATGACATTTAGATGTTCTTGTTTTTATCCTTTGCATAATCTTCTACCTTCTTGACTTTCTGTCTGTCAGGGACAGAAATTACAAGAGATGAGGAGTATATTTTTAGCATCTATATCAAAAGATCTATGCCAGGATTTCTTTGCACACCAAGAACTGGAGCTTGGAGCGTATCTTTTCTCTAAGCCAGGTTCTAGTGCCTTACACTCCAGAATGTCAAATGATGGATATAGATAGGAAGAAATCAGTTCATTTCAGTTTGGGGGCTCCAAGCCACCCCCATAGCCTCTCCTTCCTCAAAACAAATGGGTGTGGGGTAGAAATCTTCTGCAGCTCGTGTCAGTGAAGGGTTTTCTGGCAGCACAGTTAACACTTTACTCTCTGGTCAAGTCTTGGGGTATACAAAAATGCCATTGTGACTATTGTAAAGTACTGTAACATTATTTGCATTTGTAAATGTACAGTTCAGCTCAGACCTTTTGTGTTCCTGTGTAGAGTTAGAACGTGGTCCTGAAGACATTTGAGGCACTTTTTTAAGTGGCATCTTTTCTCAAGAGCCCGAGTGACTTTGGGCACACGGGGTGACTGATCATTTCCGCCCTCCATGAACACGGTATTAACATTGTGCACTGTATTTGTATTAAGATTTTCTTTTCATGTTACTAGGTTTGTAAATAAACAGACATTTTAATTACTCTTGTCATGTCCACTTGTACATGGTCTTCATCTGCAGTAACTTCATATATGTATTTGCCATCACAGAGGATAAACATTGTACATAAAACCATTTGTACCTGTGTTAGCAAAGTGTAAGAATTTGGAAGCTGAAGTAAGGAAGGTGCAGGCATTTATATCACCCTCCTCTCAAGGGGGACATGGCTGGAGAGAGCCTCTGTTCCTCCTACTGACACTTGATGTATGACCCAGGCACATACATGGGAGCTGATGTTTGCGTGGAAAACAAGGGCGTGGGTGGATTCTCGCTCACAACCACAGAAAGAGAACACTGTCTGAGAGAAGCAGCCAGTGATCTTTTACTACACCAGCTTCCATCCACAAATGTAGTCACTGGACTTTATTCTGCTTATTCAACTATTTTGTCAGTTGCTACATATGGGAATCCCACGGGATAATATTTCAAAAAGAACCTCATCATGCCTCCAAACCTGCTCCTTTCATTTCCAGTTTCACCAATGTTCAAACAAACCAGAAACCTGGGACTCATCTGGTCTCCACTCTCAGCTCTCCCTCCACTTTCAGTCCATCACCCAGCCTGACAGTCTGTCTCCATGAAATCGACAACCAAG